CAAAGCTGAAAAGAAAAGGCGCACGATCGCTAAATTACCCACAAATAACATGACTGTGAGCAAAACAAATCATTTGAAAAAGAAATGTTCAAGAAACTAAAAAAATGACTTACAACTTCCCATGGTAATTGAATTTGATGGAAAACCAACCGAAATGAGGGCGAACGAGACGCCAAGTCAAATCTCCCGCCAAGACGCCGTCCTCGCGCAAACGGCGATTAATCATATTCCTACCCCAAACAGGGCAGTTGTGCACCCTCAGATGGTGGGACTCTCAAGAATCAGAGGGGTTATCCTGCTCTGCTTCTCCTTTACTAAACAGCATTTACTGTNTCTCCCCTCTCCCCTCCTCATCACAAACCTGCCAAAATCCGCTATTTTTCCTAAATTTACGATCATCGCGAGTTAAAGAAGCCTTGCAGAACCAACTCACAATTTTATGCAACGTTTTGGATACTCCTCCAACTTCGTTATTGTTGCCGCATAGAACCTGAACATTTGTGATGAGATGGGGTAGTGTAACTGTAAACACGGGGACAGAAAATTTAATTTTTGTGAAAGTTGTTCTTACTAGCTTCTATAGAGTGATGGTAATCTTACAGTTAAAATGATGACCAGCAGAAGAGAAACCGAACGGTGGGTAGAAATGGATAAGCACATTACGCAACGATAATAAAAGGGCCCGATTAATCTACCAGAGGTTGTTCAAATGTGAACAGTAGGAAAGGATTCAGACTTGAACTTATGAAACGTATTAAACTGCTATTGCTGGAGTGATGTAACATGTCATTAAAAAATTGCTTACAACCCGACAAATGAAATACGAAAACTTGTTGATAATAGTTACACAGTAAACTCACGATGTCCTAAATTTGGCGATTACTGGCTGCCCGATTCGTAAAGTTTCGCCCAGTATGCACGACTCGCATAACGGTTTGGGGTTGTTGTTGTGAAGATCTCGGCAATTTAACGTTAGGCAACTTTCGTGGAATGACCTCACGCATTGGGAGCATCTCAACAGAACCTCCTCGCCTGAATCAAAAAGCAAGCTTAATATGACTATGGAAGAGTATTGTCAAGAACAAATTATTAAAGAGGTACCGCACCGGATATATCAATCATCTCACGCATTGTTGGTTATAAATACAAAAGAGTAAAGCAAAAGAACAAAGGTAGCTTGAGTGGTTTAATGCTTTTCATAGCAGTAAAGTTCGAGTAGCAAAAGAGCGATAAGCTTCCAGAGCAAAAACATATGGCAAAGCAGAAGACGGGACACATATCACCTAGGCAGCGTCATTCCTTCAATTTAGTCCAAACTCGATAAGACTTCCAATTCTCAGAAATCTTGGGGCACCAAAAATTGTGATGGAAGTTCAATGTATGAGGTTGAAGAAATCAAGCCACAAAGCCCTGATTTTGCGGGTTGAGCAATTGAAGAGCGGAACACGTTACCACATAACAGAAAGAATCAAGTCTTCCACCTGCATTTTCACATTCACAGCAGAACGGCAGATGCGAGCGTTTGTTCTCCACTAGCGGAATGGACTCGAAGTCGCAGTGGGAGTGGCAACGAGTAAACGTTTGCTTGACCTGGAAAAATTCGTTGTTGAAAAGTACCATTATAGAATGAGATGTCTGACAATCCCTAGCTGGAGCCAAAAAATGATACCTACGACACAAAACAACACAATGTAGCTTTTTAAAGTGATCGAATCGATTGAAAACTGATAGCGCGTTTTTCACGGCCAGCAGAAGCTCACAAGACGCAATGCGTTAAGATCAAATTCCAAAATAATGCAGACGAGACGAACAACATTTCATTGGCAACAGCTTACCCTCGTACACCGCGAATAGAAAGTTAGGAAATTTTGCGTGAGCCCCTTAATTATGCTCAAATTGGTACATATCCTATGAAACACTGCCAAAGCCGTCACAAAGTGATGAATTCAAAGGGCGCCTGACAGTACGAAGATAAGCCATGGAACAGAAACAGTGGGCAGTCCGTCTGTAGATTTTTTGATAATATAAAGTACCTAAAGTATCAACTCACTTCCACTTCGGACCCTTCCTTTGTTCTAGCTGGTACTAAATCCTCATAAAACTCAAATCCAGCAGGAGAGCACTGCTCATGGAAGCCTCGAAAACACGAGTCGCATTCTATTACCTTGCCTAAACTTGGATAAATAACTGCATTTACTGAAATCCTATGAGAAGTTTAAGTTTTTTTGCAAGCAGCTATAAAAACTATTTTGAGCACGCTAGTTAATAAAGATAAACAGAAAATGGGTAAGTTGTGAATATAATTAACGAGTTACGCATCGTCGACTTCAAACGTAGGGTCCACTGAACAGCTCAAAATCAGCAATATAATTATAACTGCAAAAAATTGTGGGTAGGCGTACCTCGGACTGCCGTTGTTTTCCAACGCTCCAGGTAACAAGTAGAACAAAAATGCAATGGACATATCGTTTCATCGACGATTTTTCGAAGGCAGTCGACACTGTACTCCGCAGCGTTGTATGCCTTGAACACTCAAATACACAGTGCTGTAAAAAAAAAGAGAGAAAGAAATAACTAAAAGAGAAATTCCAAATTGCTTGGCTCAAATGCAGGACCAAATGCATTCTGGGTATACTGGAGTCCTGATTTCAGTAATATAAGTCATCTTGTTTTGAAACTACTATCTTTATTACAGAAAAGGACTGACTCTTCCTTTCGGCAAGACAGATTCTACTCCAACAGAGCTACTCGAGTAGGAAAAAATTAGACAAAAGTCATCATGTTGATCAATTTGAAACAAAAGCACTAAACAATGATACAAATCGAACGCATGTAACGCCGAACCTACGTGAAAACATTTTGAAAAACCCTTCCACTCTTGACATTGGAATGTGAACATTATAATAACGTCAGCAAAATTCCATAAATTTTGAAGAAGATTCTCTAGGATGAGCTCACCTCAATGCACTTTTCGTGGAACTTCGTGGTACAAAAACTGCTCGAGGAATATTTCTTCCCACAGTTAGTAAGATCTCCACCTTTGCCACAGACAAAACATTCATCTCAAAGTAAAAACTTCACTTCATCGTTTATGCAAGTTCGTTTTCAGTGGAACTCAAGAAAGAGATACCTGGGATGGAGTAAGTTCCTACTCTGCCGACCTTTCTGCTTCTTATGGCGTAGATGTCTAGAACAATGCAATTTATTGAGGTTGGCTGCCTTGGAAATAAGCGTGAGGAAGTTACCTCGCTTGGATTTTACGCAAGATGGTGACTTGGGCAAAGAGTTATCACCATGAGATCTATCCACGGATGGTGAGCTGAAAAAATATGACGCTACCAGGTTTCGTTGAATGGATTCTGCGCGATAGGAAATATCACTCCAAATACTCTTTTTCTGGAACTATCTTTGTTTAAGAGAAACTTTGCTTCTTGCTCATACGGACCTAACCGTTGAGTTGAACAAAGGCACTTCCAAAAAAAGAGCCGGAATAATAGTTTTTCTTAGAAAAAAAAAACAGTTCTATCAACTCTGCATATAAAAGGTAATCAAAAAAAAGTTTATAAAATTAAACAAAAAACACAAAAAACTACTTCAAGGCAGATCTTCACTAGTTTACCTGAGTATTTCATTACACACACTAGAAACTGATGGTCCTTCCCCATGAGCCAATACGGTCTGCTTATCTTCATCGCTGTCATCAGACACTAGCGGTCCCGTTGGAATTTCCTCAGAAGCGGGAACCTCAATCAACCCATTGGTCTGAGTGAGCGACGGAGCTTCACCATTTCGCATCACACCAGTCGACTGTGAACTTTCTGAAATTCATGTTATTCGCCGCAACAACAGCAATGAAAATAGTCTAACCACTTCATGGATCATTCTGAAACGATAGCAAAAGAAACACGAACCGTAGAAGAAGTAAATTCAGCATATTAAGTTTAGCAAAAAGATTCTATCGTATGTTTGTGACACAGCATACGAGTGGAAGAAATCTAGGAGATGACTCAAAGTGTATAAGGAGAAGAATTTTCAAAGGAACTGTCTTTCAAAGGACTTGTGTTGATGGTTGAATTCACGATATATAAATTGAAGGACAAAAAAGCAAGGGGTCCAAGAATCTTCGCTAAATGCGCACCCTATATTTCTTACACCTTCACCCCCTCCCCTTTAAGAAAAAAAAGTTCTACCAAAATCAGTCTTGCACCTAAAAACTGCTGAGAAATCATTTGAAACATTAAAGTGTTTGTTTGAAGCATGATGTATAATTTGCAAAAATACACGCTTACTTGATGCTGGGGCGGTGTGATCATGCATCGTTGATAAACCATCGTCCGGTAGATTGAAAATATCTTTGACCAATTTTACAATAGTTTCAGAAGCCGCCTTGTCCAAAAATCGAGTTGTCTAGATAGCCAAGCATCATGTTTGGTTCAGAGTTCACATTTCATTTGATTTCAAGAGCAATATCCATAAGTAGCAAGGGAATGCTCTTAAGAAATTCAGGATTGTTCTCTAGAGATCGACTAAACGTTCTGGCTCAAAAAGCTCTCCTCCAACCGTAAGTAGAGTAATTGGACGACGCTTGTTTCAGATTATTAACAGCCACTAGGCGTGTATCTAGTTTTGGTGCACTTTAGTGAAAGACGTCAAATTAGAGTAACTTTCTTGATCGGTGACCAGTCCCTTTTCGGTGCACTTTTGCATTCTCCTTTCGAAACGTAGTAGCACTTGAACTTGCATATGCCTTAATGCCCGTATAATACACTGTTCAATCCTTTTAAACCTTTAAAAAGTGCATGACGCCAAGTAGCTGACTATGCAGGTAAGTTACTTGACGATTGCTGAGCCTCAACGCAGATTTTGATCCAATTTTGCGCGTGGAAGAGCACCACCTCACCTCGCTGACCCAAATACACATTCAATCATTAAGTAGGAGATAGCACTCCCTAGTTCACGTTTGTAGTATATGTGTGATGAAGCATACCTCTGTGAAATTTGCCAAAAAGTCGAGATAAGGGATTTGCCCCCGCATTCCGCCACAGAGAACCGCGATCATCTCACGAAAAGCGTCCAGCGTTGGTCCTGTAACGAAACCTTGCAAACCGTACACAGTCCTGATACTCGCTTTAGAATTCATAGCTATATGAAAGTATGGCGGACGGCTCCACGAAGCGGCACAAGACCGTCCTGAACCTCGTAGACGTAGACATTCCTTATCCTTACCGATCATCAACTGGAAGTGAAGGTGAATGGTACGACTATAGTCGCGCTGAGGAAACCCAAAATCCCAATGGAATTTTGAGTATACGGGGGCAAGGAACACTATTATTGTGGCAAACAGTACACTGTTACCAAGTACCTGCACAGCACCCACAAAGTTACATACACGTTTGAACCGTACGTGCTCAAACATAACAGCCCCACAAACCAAATTTTTCATAAACAGACTTATACAGGGTGATGTCGAGAAAAAACCATACAATAGGCATTTTTACTATGTCTCTCCTCCATAACAAAGAAACAATCAGATTTAAATAGTTAAAGATGGACGCATACAACGTAAGACATCAATTACCTTTTGTTCGTTTTTGAGGGACTCCCATACGGAACAGCATATCGAGAGCAACGTCGAGTTCCATCGAACCATCGCCATTACTACAACTCGATTCCAGAACGGATCGACTCTGCAGTTGAAATGAAGGTCTCCAAATGGAAACATTAAAGCTACTGGCGTGATCTATTACCTCTTCATTAGTTATCGCTAACCAGTTTATCATCAACGTGAAATCATTGCTTAAATCGGATTTAAAGCCATCAATAAGGATTTCTGGGCACTGAAATCACACCATAACTCATGAATATCATTATGTAAAAAGAAAAAAAGGAATAGAAATAACCTACGGTCTTCCTAGCGATACAGTGCGCCCATGTTTTATAGGTTTCTAATCTTAGCTTAAAATGTTCGTGAATTTCCAAATCAATTGGTTCATCTGCCACTTGAATATTCGAAATATGGCTAAAATTCCTCTTTCTTCATGTGGTAACTTGAATTTATTAAAAAAAACAATGACAAACTGACTTTGGTGTTAGTCCATTAGACGCTTTTTGAGGTTTTTGATGCTTCGCTTTGCTTGGCAAACCGATGGCATCACCCTTCATTACTGAAAAAGATTTTAAAAACTTTTTTTCCAATCGAAAATTTGTTCAAAAGCGGAACCACGAAGAATATTCACTTCAACTAGGAAGATAATGTAAAATGGCTGAAATTTGGGGTAATGACCACTGAATGAGCGAATAAATGAAGATCGATCCTCATGGAGGACCGACAAGAGCCACGCTGGCAAAAGTCGACCTCGACTGGCAAAAAAACTTCCAAGGTAAAGGTAGGTTTCCTTAGAAAGTCTCATAAAACGGTTTTTGCTTTTCGTAAACTTTTGAATGTATCAGAATAGCCAATGGAAATGATTCATTCTATTCTCCCCAGTTTGCTTCTTTAAACTTAACTTAAATTTTCTAACAAAGGACTTGGGGGTTTGTAAATTTCACAATACTAAAAACCTTCTAGCAGCCTCAGACAGTTTCCCATATAAGACTAAGTATTTGAAAGCTTTGGGAATGATCTGGAACCATAATTTCAGAACCAAACGAATATTTTACTGATAAGGATAACATTAGAGTGAGATTCAGCACATTCACTTGTACACTGCAGAGCATTAAATGAGAAACAAAGAACAAACAAAGGACAACAAACATGAAAACACTAAAAAACAACAAAGCTGAAAAGAAAAGGCGCACGATCGCTAAATTACCCACAAATAACATGACTGTGAGCAAAACAAATCATTTGAAAAATAAATGTTCAAGAAGCTAAAAAATGACTTACAACTTCCCATTGTAACTGAATTTGATGGAAAACCAACCGAAATGAGGGCGAACGAGACGCCAAGTCAAATCTCCCGCCAAGACGCCGTCCTCGCGCAAACGGCGATTAATCATATTCCTACCCCAAACAGGGCAGTTGTGCACCCTCAGACGGTGGGACTCTCAAAAATCAGAGGGGTTAACCTGCTCTGCTTCTCCTTTACTAAACAGCATTTACTGTCGTTTAGGTTTTTAACAGCTTTGTAAAGCAATGCCGTAGTGTACGTGCTCCAGCGGAAAGGTGGGCTAAACGAAGAGCAGGGGAAGACAGAACAATCGTTGGTGATTGTCGATGTTAAAATTCCCCTTTCTAAAATCTACCCCACCAGAAGAATGTTTGAGCGGCCATGCAAACAGCCCTGTCCAGCTGAAGATGAGAGAACATGGTCTGCGATGGTACGGGCAGGTACTGCGAGGGGCACAGAACCATCTGATAAGGGAGGCCATGGAATTCGAGGCTCAGATTAAGCAACCACGAGGAGCTCCAAAGAAGAGGTGACGGGACGTGATTAAGAAGGAACCTGCCGAAACCGAAGTAACGGCAAAGCATAGAAACAGCTAAAGACAACATCCAAGGACAGCGGACCTTAAACGACGGGGGATTGGGGGAACGAGAGGAAGGAGAGTTAGAACATTCATGAGGTCCGTGAAAACTTGACGAGCTTGAATACAGATTTTCCACGCTTCACCGTGCCTACCGCCATCTGATGCTGTCAACGGGCAGAGACGGGAGTTTGGAGCGGGGCTTGAGGAAGTGTGGAGATGGGATGAATGAAGAAGGGGATAATTGAGAGGATTTAGAGCAGAGTTGAGGGATTAGGGTGAAGTCAGGGGTGGTGTAATGCCAGTAGCTCTTTTCGGAACGAAAGTTATGCCCACGAAAAGTGGTAGGGTGGAACGGGGATGAAATGTGATGAAGTATGTTTGTACACGTTTGTGGCACCTCGAGGAGCTATTCGGATATCCCTCCGGGCTCAAAACGGCAGTGTAGACTGGTGAGTGAGATGTTATTCAATTTGACAGTTATTGTTTTCCCTTGGGCACATGGAGAGCGCTTCCATACAAAAGCCATTTTTCAGTAGGGTGAGGAATCTAGGGCTGTGGGTAAGAGTGGCGGTGTCATCTTGAGAAAGTAAAATGACAATGGGTAAATGCCATAGGAGAAAAAGAGATTAGTAGATGTTACGTGTATGGGAATGTATCGCCATTTATGCCCTTCCGACCCTGTCGGGCCCTGTCGGCCCTCCTTTGGCCTCGGTTGAGTAGTAGCGTACGGATCCTTCCTTCACTTACACCATCCCACTTCTGCTAATGTAGTGCCATAATTATGTCAAAAAATACCTTCTTCCTTTTTTTGGAGACATTACCTTCATCATTAGTATACCGTCCAGAGCGTTAGCGCTTGTACTACAGGAGACGTGCTAATGTTTGGAACTTAGCTAAAGCTTCACGAACTTCCCCTAAAATTCGAATATTGTGGCTTTCTTACCTATTACTCAACTCTATCTGATGACTAGATCACGTTTTTCAAGTGTTCCTTCTTAGAATTGTATAGATTGCCATACTGTCCGGATACTTGAAGGCTAAACGTTGCTTTCACCCAACTTTCACTGCTTCAGTATAAACCCAAGACGCACACCGCTTTGTACCATTGTGGTAATGAGGTCTACCCTAACTCTATGTTGCTCTCTATGCTCTGCAACTTCGAATGCGGAGTACTCAACGAATCCCTCTTTCCAGGATGGCTTTCTTACTAATTGTTCTTCCATATTCACTGTGTTCTGCAGTGCCTTGGGATAGAAGAAGTACTTTTCAAGCTTTGATTTACCTATGGTTTATGGAGTCGGCTAATGCGTCAGGCAAAGAAGAGTAGCAGCGAGGTTTTGCTGATCTTTCGATGATACTTTTCTCCTTTTTCGGTTCGGTATCACAAAATTTCTGTCGACGAAAAATGCTAAACCGTAAGCATATTGTCAAGTGTTTCCAATCTCCTATTGCACAACTTCGGGGAACACCGTTTTGGGGTTGTTTTTTTTAAACAATTCATCTACATCAAAACGACTGTCGACCTTTACTTTCATATCTTTCCATTACAAATGTCGCATAACGTTTTCAAAGGAAGCACTGAGAGTTTTCATGGCGGTATCGTACCTACCTTTCACTTCGATAGTGACCTTCTTTTATAGCGGTGAGATTCTGGTCGTGAGGTTGTTTGTAGAACTCACGAAGCATTCTCACATACAGAATAGGAATATACAGGTTACCTACTGCTTAGGTAACCAGTTTTGAACCATGTCAAGGAGCTTCTTCAAATGGTGGTAGAACATGACGGTCGTCTACTATTCACGTCATATTTGTATACAATACATAATGGTTTACATAGTTACAACAGCACTTCAATGAGTCTCGCAATAATGTGTATAGCACGACAGGATTGGACCTTCTTAGGAACCGCTAAAAACATGCTAATCTTTAGAGTGGAGATTGAGGGATCAATGTAGTCGTCCTGTCTTAGACGGTAGTCAATTAGGTAGGAGGACAATTGCGTTGGAAAAACTGTGGTAGAAGTATGGAAAATCTTTTCCACTGCCTTTGGATGCAGTAGGTGTCCTTTCCAGGCGTCGAAGAAAAATGATTCTGGTCATGTCCATGGTGATGCTTGTGATGCTTGGGTGAGGGGGAGTCAAAGATGCTTTTCTCAGCCTGAGCAGCTTCAGCAAGTATTGCTGCTTTTCACCCTTTCAAATCTTCCTTTATCTCTTCTCTTCATAGCTACATAAGTTCTGATCATAGGAGGCAAATGACTGTCGCTACCGTGACTTCACGCTGGCATGTCTGATTGCCTGATCCTATATCAGCCATAAAGACATTTTTTCGTGATGTCCAAAAACATGTTTTCTAGGCTTAATGATCAGAGTCTAAGCTCTGTGCTTAACAAATCTGTAAGGAATGCTTGTGTGTAATCCTAGGAGAGTGGAGGGATGGTTCATCCATTACTGAATTGCTGGTCCTTAAACCCACGAATCTTTTCTACTCCAGGTTAGACGGATTCCCTTTTCGTCGGAGCACGGAATATCTGCTTGTCATTGGTTGACAAGCTTGAAATTTGTGAACCTGTGACTATTTGATTCTGCTTGAGTTTGAAGGTTGTTGAAGAGGAGATAGTGAGAAAAGGAGGATGCCATTTTCTTCACGTTTCAGGTTCATGTGGAGCGTGAAGGCGTTGAAATTAGTTGCCTTGTACGACTCACAATGAACCTCGGCATAGTTCCAATACAGCTTTATTCTATTAAACAGGACACGAGGTTGAGTAATACAAATAAGTCGGCTGACGTTTTGGCGATTTTCGCCTTCTTCGGAGCCTAAAAAGGTGGAAACCAAATTATGATTTATTCG